AGCAGATTGAGTTTTATGAGCGCAAAACCACATTAAGCAACGCAGAGCAAAACCTTAAGTTGGTCATTTCTTTGATGTCTGTCTACTTTAAAATATCAATGTCTGAAAAAAGCAAACTAAGATTTAAAAATATATATATAGATGGCAGCAAAGTTCTTCATGCACATTCTCACTAGAGACATTTGAGCTACAATGGACACCAGAGACATGTCTGTCACTATTTCAAACATTATGCTGAATTTACCCTGTCACACAGTCTAACAAGCAAACTAATCCGAGCTGGGGGGACAGAGCTGGGTTTTAAGCCTAAGGCCTTTTGATTCTAAATTCTGTGCTTTTCTTACCACGCCATGGCAGACCTGAGCAGAGCCTTTCTGCCCGTGAGTGGCTGCACAAATTTTGCTGCCCCACAGTTATCATTGGTACACCATTGTGGTAGCCTATTTTTGCCTTTAAACAGCGTGACTGTTAAATAAGTGGTAAAATCAACTGTGGCTGGACACACCACCTACCAGAAGCTGAAAGACTGATGGCCTACACAGGGTGAAAAGGGATGCAGCTGCATATAGGACCTTTACTGAGTCTCACTGACTAGAAGGTATTCCTGTGGTCAGGCCAGGGACCAGTGGTTCATGCCTATAATCCTAGCTACTCAGGAGGTATATGTGATCTGAAGACTGAGGTTCAAATAGCCCTGGAGCTGGGTGATGATGGCTCACACCTTAAAAGTCTATGAAACTCTTACCTCCAATTAACCACCAGAAAAAGGGAAGTGGTGCTGTGGCACAAAGTAGTATTAACTAGCCTTGAGCAAAAGAACTCAGGGATGGTGCCTAAGTCCAGAGTTTAAGCCCCGCAGCTGATTTAAAAAAAGCAAAGTATCTAGTGAATAAAAACTGTATATATCTAAGGTGTATGATTTAATACATAAAGTAATCCTAGCTACTAAAGAGGCTGAGATCTGAGGATTGCGGTTTGATGCCAGCCCGAGCAGGAAAGTTTGTGAGACTCTCATCTCCAAGAAACTACTCATAAAAGGCCAGAAATATGGCTGTGGCTCAAATAGTAAAGTGCTGGCTTTGAGAAGAAGCTCAGGAACAGTGACCAGACCTGGCATTCAAACCCCACAATCGACAAAAAACAAAAAAAATTTTTTTAAAAAGCTAGCCATGGCAGGAAAATGTGTGACTCTTATCTTCACTAAACTACCCAAAAGCAAGAAGTAAAGCTGTGGCTCAAGTAGTAGAGCACCACCCTTAAGTGAAAAAGCCAAGAAATAGCGCCCAGGCCCTGAGTTCAAGCCCCTGTACAGTACCAAAAACAAGTAAGAAATTCCTGCAGTTGAGAAGATAAGCTACATGGACCGGAAAGCAACATTGAGAGAAGAGGAATCTCCCACACAAGCAGGATGAGGCTGGGAAGCCTTGTCTGGGTGGTACTTGGAGCCAAAATCGGCTGTTCTCTGCTCCAAGGGGGCAAGTGTGCGCTTCTAGCAGCCAGTGAGCCATGACACCATGAAGACTTATTGCTTATGCTTATGCTGCTTCCTAAACTTTCAGCTTGTCTTCGGGAACAGATAAATTCAGAATAGGCTGAAAACACTAAATGACAAAAGCAGATTCTTTAAAAACTTCTATTCAGTACCAACCATGTGAAAACACTGACAGAACTATTGAATTGACAACTGTAAAGGCAAGATCCTTCATTCCCAAACCAGACCAGAGGCAGAACTTGCTTGCTTGCTCTCCCTCCTTCCCTAGCCAAGAAAAGTGGCTTTTGGTGTTCATTTGTTTTTTAAGTATTTAATTAGCTGGGTATGGTGGCTTACTTAAGAGGCTGAGATGAGGATTGCAGTTCAAAGTTACCCTGGGCAGGAAAGTCTACGAAATTCTTATCTCCAATTAACCACCAAAAAAGGGAAGTGGTGCTGTGGCACAAAGTGGTATTGCACTAGCCTTGAGCAAAAAGAGCACAAGGACAGCGCCCAAGCCCAGAGTTCAAGCCCCATGACCGACAAAAACAAAAAACAAACAACCTATATATTCGAGGTGTATGACTTAATACATTCATTAAGTAATGATGATCATAATGAAATTAGTATCTGTCATTCCCATGCTGAACTGAGATTCCCCAGATCAAGTTTGTTTTGAACTGAAGGAATGTACCTTTTGATAACATCTCCCCACTTTCCATACCCTGGCAATGACCCTTCTACTCTGTTTCTATAATTTCAACTTCTTTAAATTTCAAATGTAAGTGAGATAACACCATATCTGCCTTTTTCTGAAGTGACTCATCTTTACATTTGGGGCTAAACTGTTACAGATAAAAATATAGTATTCCATGCAACTCCTTTTAATGAGCCTGAGATGTGGGCTCAGCAGATGGTACTATGTTCTAGAATATCACAGGGACAGCTAGAAACTTGGCAGTGGGACAAGTGGTAGAAGACAAAGGGCAGCTGTACACCTGACTGCATTTTTATCACAGGCTCCCTTGCAGCACTCAGCATGGAAGAAAGCTGACAGCCCCAGGGCAAGAGGAACAGAACAGGGGGTAGGAGGTAGAGATCCAAGTCACATGCACTAACAACAACAGTCTCAATCCTAATCTGCTTTCCAAGAGATGTAAACAGCCTTCACATTCTTCACACACAGGTGACAGGAGAATCAGCACAATAAACACGTATTAAATACCTGGTGAGTAGCAAACAGACACTTGGCACCAAAGAGGCTAGGCAACTTACAGAGCTGCTCCCACCTACGAAATGGGGAAAGAACAATGCCTCCTGTCTAGAACTTGAATGACTGGTATGGTAATTATGTGACATAATTAATATAAAAGCAAGGAGTGCCACCTCTGAGGTTCCAAAGCTGGTTCCTTTCCAGAGAGGGTGGATAGAAACGTTCTGATGTCCAATTATTTCCTTGAAGCTTGGGTCCCTTACTATGTTGTCTTTTACAACATTCCCTAGCCCTACCCTTTCTTTGAAAACAAATGAAACATCAACTACAAACAAAAAAGAAACACAACAACATAATGGTGGCTGCAAGAATATGCAGTTGGACCACAGGTATAATCCTAGTTCTACCAGTTGTAGCTATATGATCTTGGAGCTTGATTTGCAAGTAGTAATGATGATAACTAAACTGAAACTATTAAGGAATAATGAGATTCCATCTATTTATTATCTATCAATTTATTCATCTATCTATGTATATGTGGAAGGGGGAGATTTTAGCACACTGCAAATACTTCTACACTGTTATTACTCTTGTTTCTAGTCCTCTCTGGGAAGAAGAAAAGCACAATGCCATAGATATGTTTTACAAACTTGACCCCTAATCTCAACCTAGAACACAAGAGCCAGAAAATAGAAAGACAAGTTAGGAAGCTAAAGGACCACTATTTTTTGGTAGGGGGGAGGGGGGAGGGGCAATCTCATTTTTATTTTCTACCTTAATATTACAGAAGTAACCCACATTTACATTAGTAAATTAGTCATTAGTAACACTTAAGCATGTTGAGGAATTTTGAACCCAAAAGCTCCTTGAGTTTTCTCAAGTTTCTATGTGCAGTAAAACTTTGGGTTTGATGTTTGGGAAAACTGGATTTTCCAAGTGATCTAGCTGTAAGGACCATCATTTGTTGTTTTTACCCCAAAATGCAACCAACATTTATCCCTGCCATGTATATCTAGCCCAAGCTTGCCCCACATGCAACACTGTTGAAACAAACAGACTGAGTGTCTGACAAGCAGGTAAACTAGTACTTCAGCAATGTAGGTTGCTATAAAAGTTTCTAAATGCTTTGTCCTGGCTTCTGAGTCAGTAATAGTCTGTAGGCCCACCATGAACCTCACCATGAGATCCCTGATCTGGACTTTTCTCCCCTCTTCCCACAACGTCATTTTATGAAGATGCTGCCAATGAATGGTGTAGCTGCAAGTCTTTAAAAAATAAAGAAAGTCTTAGCAAGAAGAACAGTGTTGAAGGAATAACAATACTCAACTTCAAATTCTATTACAAAGTCACAGTAGTAAAAACAGTGTGGTACTGCCACAAGACTAGGCCTCAGGACCAGTGGAACAGAATAGAAGACTCAGAAATGAACCACCTAATATTTGATAAGGGAGCCAAAAACACAGGTTGAACAAAGACAGCCTTTTCAACAAATGGTACTGGAAAAAATTGGCTATCCACATGCAGAAAATTGAAGCTAGATCCTTATATATCACCCTGCACCGGAATCAATTCCAACTGGAGCAAAGACCTCAGTGTAAAACCAGTCACCGTGAAAATATTATAGGAAGGGGCAGGGGAAACACTAGGGCTCCTAGACATGGGTTGAAACTTCCTAATATCCAGAATCACAACAAATCAAAGACTGGATAAAAGGTATGATTATCAAAATAAAACATTTCTGCAAGGCAAAGGACATAGCTAACAAGATAAATAGCACACAGAATGGGAGATTTCTACCAGCTATGTATCAGAGAAGGGCCTCATATCAAAAATATATTAAGAGCTAAAAAAACTTAAACCCCTCCAAAGATAAACCTCAAAGAAATAGCACAATTAATAAATGGGCTAATGGCCAGGCGCCAGTGGCTCATACCTGTAATCCTAGCCACTCAAGAGGCTGAATTCTGAGGATCATAGTTCAAAGCCAGTTCAGGCAAGAAAGTCCATGAGAGTCTTTTCTCCAATTAACTACCAGGAAACCAGAAGTAGTGCTGTGGCTCAAAGTGGTAAAGTGCTAGCCTTGAGTGAAAAAGCTCAGAGACAGCACCCAGGCCCCGAGTTCAAGACCCATGAACAACAACAACAACAACAAAGACTTCTCAGAAAAGCAAAAAGAGCGAAATAATATCAGCACATCCCTGCTGGCAGTGACCACCTTAGCCATCCAGATCTGGCCATGAGAATTACTTAGCATCAGTGGGGTGATAACTGTTTTCAGTCTGTAGCAGCCCATCCCTTGCTGGTAATTCCCCTGACCTTGGGGCGGTCTTCCTTTCTCAGAGCCACAGCTTCCAGTTTGGCTTCATACTCAGCTTGAACTTGGTCCCTCTTCTTTAACACGCTCTGTGGGAGACATAAAGAACAAGCATGTAACACACCATCTGCAAAGGACCTCAGACTCCCTGCCCTCCCCAGCTGATGGCACTCCAGGCCCAGTCATGTGCTTTCAGAACCATTTGGTTATGGTCTAGAAGCTGTAGTATGACATGTGAGTTGGGACTCGGGAAAGAAAGCATAGTAAAGGAGAAGAAAAGGAGAAACATTTAGAGCCTGGGCACCCAGTCAGGCAACTGCCTGATGCTGAGAATGAAACACTCAGAAAGGAAGGGCACACTGGAGGAAACACATCCTCCCATTGCCACCCTGCCCTGAGAGGCCCCGGCTGTATGGAAAGGGAGCTTTGCAATCACAATGCAGGGTTTTCTCAGAACTCAACACAAAAGTCTAAGTCAACCTGGAGGCATGGCTCAATGGTGATGCCCATGCCTAGAAAGCACAGGCCCCAAGTTCAAACCCCAGTAATCACTTTAAAAAAAAGGTGTAAGTCAATACAGCTCTTATTTATATTAACATTTATTATAACTAATAAAAATCATATAGGGAGAGTGTACATGTATATATACATACATATATATTGTAGACAACAGGTAGTTTCAAAAAATGTACTATGGTATGGCTAAGCTGAGATAATTGATATATGCAAATATATGCAGTACCTCATACTTATTTTCTATGATGAGACCAATTAAAATCTATTGTCTCATGAATAACATATATATGTGGTACATATATACAATGGAATTTTACTCAACTATTAGAATATATTATGTCATTTGCAGGGTAATGAATGGATCTAGAAAAAATATGCGTTAAGTAAAGTTAAGCTCAAAGAAACAGATGATGCATGTTTTCTCTCATATGTGGAAGCTATATTTAAAATACAACATATATGAAGGACATATAAGGATCTATACATATACACACAAACAAACTGACTAAAGGGTGGTATATACTTAGGGGAGGGAGACAATGGTGAAACTTCTCTGAGCAACTCATGTTTTAACAAAATGAATACTAGGAAGCAGAATGTTTAGGGGGAAGGGCAATAAGAAGGGTGTGGGACACACAAATGATAGGGCGAAGGGTAAGAAAATATAGCTATATTCAATGTACACTAAGTAAAAATTGAACTAGATATATTGAGGGTAGGAATGGGAGAGGGAGGAATGGGGGAGAATGATGAAAAGAGTGGCACCGATCAAGAGGCAATGTACTTATAAACTTACAGAATTGTAACCTCTTTGTACAACTACTTAATAGTAAATTTTTTTGAAATCTGCTTTCTCAACCATCTCAAGAATGTAATACATGTACAGAATATAGTACCTATATAGAATATAATACCTGTAATCACTAGAAATATTCTTGACTCTTTAGTTCACTGAATGGATCTCTAGTGGATTGATTTATTTATTGATCTATCAGCCATTTCCACTAACCCTGCCTTATTAATGGATTTATTCATGTGGTCAAAAAACAAAATCAAAATAAACAATAATTTTGAAAATTCTTGCTACATAGCTCAGCTGATGCAGAGAAACTTACATCGTCCCACATTACAGTCAGTTGTTTTTCAATTGTTGTATGATCTGCTGTTTCCTTGACCTTAATTTTGTGAAAATACGTCACCCAAAAAGCAAACTGTTGCGCAAAAAGCAAAGTAAATGTATCCATTTAAGTGATAAAGTAAAAAGTTTGAGATTTGTTGAAAGGCAGAATGTCTTTAGAAGTTGGGAGGCGTTGTGGCAAAATGAATCAAGCACCCACAGTACAGTAGTGAGCATGGGTAGTTCTTTCTCAGGGGTGATATCCTTGACCTACTAACCCACAGATACCAAAGGTCATCCATATAATTGCAGTTTAAGTATTTGTCCTCTACTCTGGGTCAGGAACAGAAAGGAATAAGTGCCTAACTGATGGTTCCATCTGAAGAGGTGCTGACCAGTGTGAGGCTGTGTATGCTGTAACAGTAATGCATGCCCACGATAGGATTCTAGAACCATGCCTCAAGCCTGCTAGCATGAGTACTAAATGGGCTGAAGTAGTCCCAGCCCCAGATGGAACTAAAGTGAAGAAGCTGGGAGCTCAGGTTGTAGGGGTAGGAAATTCTAGCTCTTAAACCTGTACCAGTAGGGCAAGTAGGTCTTTAAATCTTTACCTCACCTAGTCTCAGCTCTGCTACTAAGATCCCACTATGAGAATCAAAAGCTGTCAGTTGACATTGCAGGAAAAAAAAATCGGTTTGATCAAAGGGGTTTATTTCTTCTTCTTCTGGGAGAACATATAAGGATCTATACAGAAATCAAGGTTGCTATGAAAGTGTCCCACAGGAGCCTTTCAGCACAGTGTGAGGCAGGGTAAGAGGTAGACACCTTGTTGACATGCAACAATCAGTAAGAATCTCATAACCAAAGCTCTTCAGACAGTGCCTCAAAACATAGCTGGGCCAAAGGCTTTCTGTTCCTTGCTCTACTCTACCAAGCTCTGTTGAGGTCGCCAAGGCCCTTGGGAGAGGGCCAGGGAGAGGAGATACACCAAGTCCATAGTTGCTTTAGCAACTCTCCTTCCTGACCCCCAAAGGCAGCAGGGACCACAGGATGCGGCCATGCTTTCCTCAGACTGCTGCCCTCTCCTTCCCTACGCATCCAGAATGCTGCCCCCTGGAGCAGGCTGGCCAGGGGATCTGTGCTACTATCTGGCGTAACCGGACAGCACACACAGCTCCACACAACCCTTCAGAGGCAAGTGGGAGGGCATTATGCCTGTCTTCTAGACAAAGAAACATGGTGCAGTAGCAGAACACCTGTTGGAGGCCACATTGCTGGCTGTTAGCACTACAGTAGTGCTATCAGTCTCTTCTTCTTGCATCCTAGCTTAGGGTTCAGCCTGACTACAACCCAACCATGCTAAAGGATGAGAAGCACCTTTTAAATCAAGGCCCTGTCTAACACTACCAACAGCCTCTGCACATTGTTGGCCATGGTCCAGAGAGCAGCACCCTCCCCCAAGCCCCAACACCACATGCACAGTCAAACCTGCCTATGGCTGAGCCTGCAATGGGGTGAGACAAGCAATGCCAGTTAGAGTCTGCAGAGCGGCCCCTCCACCACACACAGACAAGCACAGAATACTTACCTGAACCTCTCCCAGAACTTTTTAGGGATCTCTGATTCTGGCAGACAAGACATACAAAAGAAATGAAAGCAAAACTGTTCACCCCATACTCGGAGATGGACTCACACTCAGAAAGGACTTTTTTCTTTGTAGGACTGAGGTCTGAACTCAGGGCCTCATACTTGCTAATAAATACCACAGAGCCATACATACTAACAGCCCTGTTCTCCACTGGAAAACAGCCACAGAGTCTCAGCTCCCTATGAGGAGCCACTATCTGCTTTTAGGTTTCCCATCATCACTGGGATCACAGGCATGTGTCACCATGTCCAGCTTCCTTCATGGAGACAAAGCTTCACAACTTTTCTGCTGGGGCTAGCTTGAACCTGCGACCTTCCAATCTCAGCCTTCTACATAGCTTGAGATTGTAAGTGTATGCCAGTGTACCTAGCTATCAGTTGAGAAGGAGAATCTCAAAATAAATTTGGAATACATTTCTTTAATAAATACTATTTTTTAGTGTAGAGCTTTTCAGAATGATTTCAAATAGTTCTAAGTAATCCATAGTACCACTATCTTTCTTTTCAGATGAAAAGAGGAAATGGCTCAGTTTAACAAATGCCTTGCAAGGAAGAGTAAACAGATGGAAAGAGATTTAAAAATATTTAAGGAACCTAAAACCAATGTATGGACTTTATTTGGATCTTAATTTTTTTGGGGGGGCGATATAAAAAGTTTCTAGTGGAGGGGCTGGGAAGGTGGCTCAGTGGTAGAGCGCTTGCCTTGCATGCATGAGGCCCTGGGTTCGATTCCTCAGAACTACATAAGCAAAAAGAAAAAACCCGGAAGTGGCGCTGTGGCTCAAGTGGTAGAGCGCTAGCCTTGAGATGAAGAGGTGAGGGACAGCACCCAGGCCCAGAGTTCAGGCCCCACGACCAGACCCAAAAAAAAAAAAAAAAAGTTTCTAGTGGACTAGAGCTGTAGCAAGTGGTAGGGCAATAATCACGAACAAGAAAGCTAAGGGATAGTGCTAAGCTTTGAGTTCAAGCTTTAATACTAGCACAAACACTAAACAAAACAAAATAAAAAACAGAAAAATGCTAGGACAGTTTAAGTAGTAAGTAGGTATATGAACCACAGTGAGACATCCATTTTTTATTTTATAGATGTGCCGCTAATATAGTTCTTTCGCCTTGTTAAAGGAACACTTGTATTTTAGAGACATATACTGAATATTTTTATAGGAAGAGATATCATGTCCACGATTTGCTTTAAAATAGTCTAGGAAATGAGGACTGGAAGTAGCTGGGAACAGAGTGGGCAACGCTGACGCTGGCTGGGGTATACAAGAGGCACATGTAGGCTATCATGTGGAACACGTGGCTAGACTTTTCACTTCTGGACATGTTTGAACTTTTCTACAAAAAAAACATTAAACAATAGAAACATAATACCTGTCATTCACAACTGTTTACAGCAAAGTAGTAATAGCCATTCTGAGGCACAGAACTGTATCATTCATGACATAGTTATGGCAATCAGCCTTTATCCTACAATGAAACCTGCCTGGAAGAATTGGATCACAGATATAGTCTGTGGCTTGGCTCTCAACATCACCATTGGATTTTCCCTGGGAAAACACCAGAATGCTCAGTAGTTACAGGAAAGCTCAAGGGTCCTTTCTCACAGCTCCTGCCTGTCCCATGTGCTCACACACTGTGAGAGGGAAAAGGCAGTCTAGCAGCTTCTAAGAAGCCTCTTTAAGTACACAGATTTTGAGTTTGCAGTTCCTGTGTAAGAGATGCGCCAAGTATGGGTGTGAGGGGAAGGCTGGGAGACCACATGAAAGTAGCAGGCAAACAACCTGGTGCTATCACAATGTCTGAGGA